ACTTCCAGCCTTCGTTGCTGTTGGCGTTCTTTGAACTGAACCAAACATCCTTGTCAATGCGCTTTTCCAGAAGGATTCTGCGTTCTGAACTGCTCCCTGTAAAATAGTATTTTTAATTAAAAAAATACATAACGCCTTTTCATATGTAAATCTGAAATTAAATCTTACAAGTTATATAGCTTTTATTTATTTTTTTTTGCCGGCGGGACCATGTTCTTTTATTTCCACTCGCTTTTGTTTTCTTTAATTTATGTGTATACGTGCGTTGTTAGTTCTTCTTCTTGATAATACTTGCTGTCAAATTTTTCACTATCCCTGCCGTATCAAACATTTTTATTCACCTCATAGCTGTCAAAAATTTACTTTCCAGAGAACTTTTCTATCAATTGGCACAGGCCCAAAGTACCACCGCAACTTTCGTTTTAAGAACCGCTTGTCTCAGTTTTGGTCCTTTGATCTCTTTCTACGTCAAGTGATCGATTCCGTATTAGTTATGTATATATTTACTTATTTATGTACAAAGGAATACATAAAAAATACGGTTTAAGCCGAACATTCACACATACACATACACACACACTCAAGACTGCTTCACCGAACCATAAGTCTAGCGAACTTTCTCACTCTAACGTAGTTACTTTCTTTTGGGCATCATGCATGTGTTTTACATAGAGGTTTAATCGGCTTACAGACATGTAGGTTTGATCGAGTTCGCACGCACACACGCACACAATTTAACATCAAAGTATCTGGCAAGCAGCTGGCGCTACATAATATGCTCTGTGTACCATACTTCCGGCTCTCAATAAACTTACTTCAGATCCAACATTAATTCGATGGGCAGGACTTTCTGGTAGTGCCGAAATCAATGGAAGAGATCATTGCAAAGTCTCATAGTTTTGGTCACCTTGGCACACAGAAGACTAAGCACATGATCCGCCAAGACTACTACTTACCTCATTTAGAGAATAAGGTGAGTCAATATATCGCGAACTGTATCGAATGTATTACCCGTAACAAAAAGTTGGGTAAGCACGAAGACTTTTTACTAGGGCTGTGCGATTAATTAATTACTCAAAATTTTAAAAATCATAAAGTAAATAACTCAGTTATTCGATTAATTAGAAGTTATGATTACTCATAAGTTCAGTTACTCGAGTAATCAAGATTTTTGATTAACCAAAAACAAAAATATTTGAGTAATTTGCTTTATAATTAATAAACATTTCGAGTAAAATGAGTAATCAACATTTCAACTCTTTACATATGTATAAAGAAGTTAAAGTTCCTTGATACTTTGAAAACAACGTTTCTGTTTTCAAAAATTAGAACGAAATTTTTTTTTTCATATACAGAATGTAAAAAAGGAAATAAGCATTTCCCAAAGCAAACTCTTTTAACGAGCAAAATTATTTTTTTTGAGTAATCATATTTCAAGTGACTCGATTAATCATCGTTTGGAGTAATCAAAATCTTGATTGCTCGAGTAATTGATTAACCGAATAATTGATTAACCAACTTGCTCGAGTAATCGAATAATCGCACAGCCCTATTTTACACTTTTTCGACAAGGGCGATACACCTCTTACTACACTCCATGATGCAATAATAAAAGGTTTGCTCAAAAAGCAGTTTTCTCGCTCGCTCTTGACAAAATCGGCTGCCTTAGCAATGCACTGTGTGTGGGTTCGTGTGTGTGTGCAAAGCTTTTGTAAGGCAGCTAAGGGAGTGTCAAAAGTCGAATGTCAATAATGAGCAAACCTTTAATTGTTGAATCATCCCAGCAAACATTGAGGTTAGTTATCGATTATATAATGATTGGAGAACTAGCCACATCTCCAATCTCTAACGTTTGAGATCGACTCGGAAAAACTATCGAGAATCATAGCGATCTCAGCAAAAATGGGGCATAGTTCCATGGTGGAATAATACAAGGTGTTGGATATTGACAGCGTTCTCGCTCTAATCCGCCATCTTGACTCCCTTAGCAAAATCGATGTTTCCCTCTTGAAAAAACTACATTTTACCGCCTTAAAAAAAGTACTAAACTACCTCATTCCCTATTCTAAAACTGATTTGCAATCACTGAACAATTATTTGACATTTACTTTATTCTTATTCGTTGACAACGGAAAATTAAATAAAAAATTTTAAACTTTAATTCGACAAAAAACGTGGGCTTTGTGTATTCTCCAAAGGATTTACAGCGAGATGGGCGCTGTTTTCAGGCACTCACTGAGGGAAGCTTGAATTTCTGCTGCGTGAGGCAAAATACACCTATAATCATGCCTATTACGGTATCCGACGGATGCCATCCGCACGGATCTAACCCGATTCACACTGTCATAACAAGCGAATGAGAAGGATTAGATTCATGAGAATGGGATCCCTCGGAAACAGAGCTTTTCCGGTCCGACAGATACCTTTCGCACGAATCTAATCCTTCGCACTCGCTTATTCCGACAGTGCTAATCTGATTAGATCCGTGCGGATGGCATCCGTCGGATACCGTAATAGGCATGAATAATTTACAATACCGAGGAAGCGGCGCGAGTCAACAACTGTTTGAGGCTTTGGATAACTTTTTCCTCAGGAGGCTGGTAACAATGCTGGCTCACAGAATAGCTTAAGTAGACTACTTCACTTCCACCGATATGGAATTTTTTTATGTTGATTTTTAAGCGAAAGTCTCCTGCAGTGCGCCAGCCACCGGACTTTTTGGGCATCATGTGGATGGGACTTGTCCATTGATTGCTCGAAGGTGTTATGACACCATGATGCAGCAACAGATTAAAATCTTCTTTTGCAGCGTTTAACTTCTCACCAGTGAGTTTGCGTGGGCGCTCGTGGACTGGGGGACCATTGGTGACAATGTGGTGTACGGTTGTTTCACTATCGACATTTGGTGCAGCATCACGTAGTGTGATCTCTATGTAATCCTTCAACAGGTTAGCTTAGAATGCGTCTGACTTGCTTTTGGACAAATTCGACGTAGGGTGCACAATTGTCGCGATGCTGTCAATTTGTATAAATTTATACCAAACTCGGTGCACTTAATTATCTTGGCATGGAAAAGCAATACGTTTAAAATACGAAAACTCCGATGTTTCAGTAATTGTGGACCCTAATTTACTCCAAGTTAATACTTACAACATTCATTTAACAATAAATAAGACTGTTATATTACTGTAATTATTACAAAAATGTAGTTTTATTACATTTTCTTACTTTTACTGTGATACATATTTGAATTATCTAATTCCCTAAATTAAAGTGGAATCTGATTTTTTTAACCGGTGACCACCCTAGGAGGTTGCTAAAAATAAAGCGTTTTCAAAACCATTTCCGATTCCCATTATGCAGCAATGCATTTAATCTTCCAACCTAGATACGAACACGTAAGTATGCGTGATCCTACAATCGGACCACGGCAACATGGAGTCTATCGATGTCAAACGTTAACTTTCTTGTTTTGGTGGAATAATTCCTTTACTTGATTTTAAACATTTACAATTCTAAATATCAAAACACGTCTTTTCTGAACATTTCGAGTTGAAATATTCATAAAAATAATTTTGGCCGCCTAAATCAGCCAAATACCCTATGTGGGTCGGCTGAATCAGTAAAACGTGACAGTAGTTGACTTTTGAGGTTAATATATCGGTCTTGAGTTGGTAAGGTTTTTAAAACATCCGCAGCTTCCTTTAAAGCATCGCTGCTAATTGCTGAAAGGACCAGATTATATTTACCGACATAAGATGTGGTCTTGTACGACTGAAAGGTGGCCTCAATTTGTAGAAACCATTTGTCTGGCATCTCAGTTCAGAACGGTCGCAGCTTGCATTGCGATACAAGCTCCACATCTTTAGTTGGCATTTTGTACGATGAAATATTCTCCCCATCCGTCGATGCACCGTTTTGTCGATTCCGTCATGTTGTAACGACACGGGGTCACCCCTAATTTTTTGGTTTTGGAAGTTTGACTATAATTATAGGACATTGTGTTTAATAAACTAAATTACCATTTATTGCATAAGTACTACGTTATATATACTACTTTCGCGAATTTAGCTTATAATATACCGTTTGTAGCTATTTGTATGCAAAATTTGATATGAAAAATAGTACCAAATTTCGTACTACTTCGCAAAGCGGGCTTTTTTTCTTCCCGTTTCTCTAGTGCTTCCATATTACAACCTTTTCTAAGGGAGCCGTCGACATGAGCTGTCACTACGTACAACACCTTGTATAATTCCACCATGGCATAGTTCTTGACTCGAGAAAATATTAATTCTCTAATCGAATTCTAATGTTGATCTCTAATGGGATTCGAATTTGAATTTCAAACTGCTATTTTGCTTTATTAAATAAAACGCTGTTTGTAAAATTTTTATTAAATGTATGTGCGATAAAATAATAATGAATTTGAACTTAAAAAAAAACAAATTATCATTCATTTAGAATATTGCTTATTTACATTTATTTGAATTTTCGTTTTTTCTCTAATCGTTCTCGAATCGAATTCTAATATAGTTCTCTAACTTCCGTCATCGATTCGAGAACGATTAGAGAAATACCCTAGTTATCTAATGTAGAAATCCAAATTTCTCTAACGTTAGAGACCGTGTTTGCTGGGATGACTACACTCCACGTCGATCACTTGGGTACGCTGGACCCAACCGCAAAGAACTATAAATACATACTGGCTTTAGTAGATGGGTTTTTCAAGTATACATGGATATACCCTACTAAATCAACAGATGCGCAAGAAGTTGTTACGACATATGGAGCCGTGGGTCACTATATTTGGCAATCCATTGAGCATTATAAGTGAGAAGGGCACGGCTTTTACTTCAAAGTTGTTCAAAGAGCTTTGCTCAAGCCGCAAAATCGAGCATATAGAAACTGCAGCCGGAGTACCGAGGGGCAACGGGCAAATCGAAAAAACGCACAGTCATAGTGTCGGTTTTGTCAAAAATGTCTGCTGCCGAACCCTCGAAATGGTATAAGTACACATCCCAGGTGCAGAGGGCAATAAATGCACACGTCCATTCGTCTACGAAATTCAGTCCATTTGAAGTAATGTTCCGAGTTAAAATGCGTACTGAGTACGATCTGGAGCTGATGAAAATTTCACAAGAAGAACTGGTGTTAGGTCTGTAAGAGGAACGTAACAATATAAGCAGGAGGCTAGGCGTCAAATTCAGAAGGCGCAAGACAACTACAACCAACAGTTCGACAAGAAGCGTAAAGGGCATCAGGGGTACCAAATACATGACTTTGTTGCTATAAAGGGCTAAATCTAGCAGGAAAATACATCGGCCCTTAAGAGATAGTAAAGGTGAAGCGCAACGGCAGGTATGACGTCAAGAAAGCAGCAGAATTTAAGGGCCCCAACCATACATCAACGGCCGCTGTGGTGTAGTGGTAAGCAGTGCGCGATTCCACTCCGCAACGCCTGGGTTCAAGCCCTGGTCAAAGCAACATCGCAAAAAAATATAGAAAAAAGGTTTTTTCTTAACAGCGGTCGTCCCTCGGCAGGCAATGGCAAACCTCAGAGTGTGTTTCTGCCATGAAAAACAGCTTCTCATAAAAATACAATCGCCGTTCGGAGTCGGCGTAAAACTGTAGGTCCCTCCGCTTTTTGTGACAACATCAAGGCGCACGCCACCAATCGGAGGAGAAGCTCGGCCAAACACTAACATATGGGTAAGCGCCAATCTATTATTATTATTATTAACCATACATCAACTAGTGCGGATAACATAAAGCTTTGGTGTTGTGCCGAAGAAATCGATGATGATAACGAGGTTGTAGAAGAGTCACCAGGGTGACCGAGTGTAGGATAGCATCCCTATACATTCGTTGCGAGGCGGCACCCCTACACTGTGAAGGATGCGAGAAGACAAAATAACGAGCAGTTCAGTTGTCCGTCGAGTATCAGCCGAATAAGAAGTAACAGCCGAATCAGCAGTATCAGCCGTGTGTAATTTAAAGCTGTGTATCTTTTGTTCCTTTTAATAAGAATTTACTCATTTGTTACATTAACTCAACAACTATTTGACTCAATAATTAATTGTTTGTGATCTACTGTTAATTAAATCAAATACTCTTAAACTATAATCAACTCTTTGATTTATATGTATAAGCACACTATTTGGTTTGCTCGATTTGTAAACAAAGCTTCTCAGCGGCAGAAAATATACTAAAACGAGCGAAATTTACAATAGCGCTTTTCTTCATCGAATGAGCATCATAATACCAAATGAAAATTCGTTCGATCAGCACTTTCGACCACAGTCGAAGATCGAATGCAACTCAGAATAGGGGCCTAATTTAAGGGCCGGTTGTTCAATGTCTGGTTATCACTACCACTACACTATCGACGATTTCGACATCATGCATGTAAAATGNTCCGAGTTAAAATGCGTACTGAGTACGATCTGGAGCTGATGAAAATTTCACAAGAAGAACTGGTGTTAGGTCTGTAAGAGGAACGTAACAATATAAGCAGGAGGCTAGGCGTCAAATTCAGAAGGCGCAAGACAACTACAACCAACAGTTCGACAAGAAGCGTAAAGGGCATCAGGGGTACCAAATACATGACTTTGTTGCTATAAAGGTCACGCAATTCACAACGGGGCTAAATCTAGCAGGAAAATACATCGGCCCTTAAGAGATAGTAAAGGTGAAGCGCAACGGCAGGTATGACGTCAAGAAAGCAGCAGAATTTAAGGGCCCCAACCATACATCAACGGCCGCTGTGGTGTAGTGGTAAGCAGTGCGCGATTCCACTCCGCAACGCCTGGGTTCAAGCCCTGGTCAAAGCAACATCGCAAAAAAATATAGAAAAAAGGTTTTTTCTTAACAGCGGTCGTCCCTCGGCAGGCAATGGCAAACCTCAGAGTGTGTTTCTGCCATGAAAAACAGCTTCTCATAAAAATACAATCGCCGTTCGGAGTCGGCGTAAAACTGTAGGTCCCTCCGCTTTTTGTGACAACATCAAGGCGCACGCCACCAATCGGAGGAGAAGCTCGGCCAAACACTAACATATGGGTAAGCGCCAATCTATTATTATTATTATTAACCATACATCAACTAGTGCGGATAACATAAAGCTTTGGTGTTGTGCCGAAGAAATCGATGATGATAACGAGGTTGTAGAAGAGTCACCAGGGTGACCGAGTGTAGGATAGCATCCCTATACATTCGTTGCGAGGCGGCACCCCTACACTGTGAAGGATGCGAGAAGACAAAATAACGAGCAGTTCAGTTGTCCGTCGAGTATCAGCCGAATAAGAAGTAACGGCCGAATCAGCAGTATCAGCCGTGTGTAATTTAAAGCTGTGTATCTTTTGTTCCTTTTAATAAGAATTTACTCATTTGTTACATTAACTCAACAACTATTTGACTCAATAATTAATTGTTTGTGATCTACTGTTAATTAAATCAAATACTCTTAAACTATAATCAACTCTTTGATTTATATGTATAAGCACACTATTTGGTTTGCTCGATTTGTAAACAAAGCTTCTCAGCGGCAGAAAATATACTAAAACGAGCGAAATTTACAATAGCGCTTTTCTTCATCGAATGAGCATCATAATACCAAATGAAAATTCGTTCGATCAGCACTTTCGACCACAGTCGAAGATCGAATGCAACTCAGAATAGGGGCCTAATTTAAGGGCCGGTTGTTCAATGTCTGGTTATCACTACCACTACACTATCGACGATTTCGACATCATGCATGTAAAATGNACAGTTCGACAAGAAGCGTAAAGGGCATCAGGGGTACCAAATACATGACTTTGTTGCTATAAAGGGCTAAATCTAGCAGGAAAATACATCGGCCCTTAAGAGATAGTAAAGGTGAAGCGCAACGGCAGGTATGACGTCAAGAAAGCAGCAGAATTTAAGGGCCCCAACCATACATCAACGGCCGCTGTGGTGTAGTGGTAAGCAGTGCGCGATTCCACTCCGCAACGCCTGGGTTCAAGCCCTGGTCAAAGCAACATCGCAAAAAAATATAGAAAAAAGGTTTTTTCTTAACAGCGGTCGTCCCTCGGCAGGCAATGGCAAACCTCAGAGTGTGTTTCTGCCATGAAAAACAGCTTCTCATAAAAATACAATCGCCGTTCGGAGTCGGCGTAAAACTGTAGGTCCCTCCGCTTTTTGTGACAACATCAAGGCGCACGCCACCAATCGGAGGAGAAGCTCGGCCAAACACTAACATATGGGTAAGCGCCAATCTATTATTATTATTATTAACCATACATCAACTAGTGCGGATAACATAAAGCTTTGGTGTTGTGCCGAAGAAATCGATGATGATAACGAGGTTGTAGAAGAGTCACCAGGGTGACCGAGTGTAGGATAGCATCCCTATACATTCGTTGCGAGGCGGCACCCCTACACTGTGAAGGATGCGAGAAGACAAAATAACGAGCAGTTCAGTTGTCCGTCGAGTATCAGCCGAATAAGAAGTAACGGCCGAATCAGCAGTATCAGCCGTGTGTAATTTAAAGCTGTGTATCTTTTGTTCCTTTTAATAAGAATTTACTCATTTGTTACATTAACTCAACAACTATTTGACTCAATAATTAATTGTTTGTGATCTACTGTTAATTAAATCAAATACTCTTAAACTATAATCAACTCTTTGATTTATATGTATAAGCACACTATTTGGTTTGCTCGATTTGTAAACAAAGCTTCTCAGCGGCAGAAAATATACTAAAACGAGCGAAATTTACAATAGCGCTTTTCTTCATCGAATGAGCATCATAATACCAAATGAAAATTCGTTCGATCAGCACTTTCGACCACAGTCGAAGATCGAATGCAACTCAGAATAGGGGCCTAATTTAAGGGCCGGTTGTTCAATGTCTGGTTATCACTACCACTACACTATCGACGATTTCGACATCATGCATGTAAAATGAGATCGATACAGCAGTAGTTGTGCATAAGCGGAGCTTCTACCTCCGAATTGCGCTAATCAGACATTGAACAACCGACCCTAAGACAAATGTTCCAAATTTCCGAGCACTAGTTTATTATTAAATTCGGTTTTAACTGTGCACTTCTTTGTAAATTTCGATGTGTTCTGCGTTCTGGAAGCCGTAGCTGGAGGTTAATGCACAAGTAGTGTTATATATCTTTTACAATAGAAGAGCTTCCACACTTCTTCTTCGGCAACACAGAAAGGAGAATTCTACCTAGTAAGGGTTATAATCCCTAAGCGCGNTAGTGCGGATAACATAAAGCTTTGGTGTTGTGCCGAAGAAATCGATGATGATAACGAGGTTGTAGAAGAGTCACCAGGGTGACCGAGTGTAGGATAGCATCCCTATACATTCGTTGCGAGGCGGCACCCCTACACTGTGAAGGATGCGAGAAGACAAAATAACGAGCAGTTCAGTTGTCCGTCGAGTATCAGCCGAATAAGAAGTAACGGCCGAATCAGCAGTATCAGCCGTGTGTAATTTAAAGCTGTGTATCTTTTGTTCCTTTTAATAAGAATTTACTCATTTGTTACATTAACTCAACAACTATTTGACTCAATAATTAATTGTTTGTGATCTACTGTTAATTAAATCAAATACTCTTAAACTATAATCAACTCTTTGATTTATATGTATAAGCACACTATTTGGTTTGCTCGATTTGTAAACAAAGCTTCTCAGCGGCAGAAAATATACTAAAACGAGCGAAATTTACAATAGCGCTTTTCT